CCCTACTCCTCTCAGTGGCAGTCAGTCATGGACGCAGAGATGGCTTCCTGGAAGTCCACAGGCACCTACGTCGACGAGGTTCCCCCACCTGGGGCGAACATCGTCAGTGGCATGTGGATTTTCAGGGTGAAGCGGCTGCTGGGTTCTCCGCCTGTCTTCAAGGCGCATTACGTGGCTCGAGGCTTCAGTCAGCGGCAGGGAGTTGACTACTTTCAGACCTTCTCTCCCACCCCGAAGATGACTACTCTTCGGGTGCTGCTGCACATAGCCGCTCAGCGCGACTTCGAGCTTCACTCTCTTGCCTTCAGCACAGCTTTTCTGCAGGGCAGCCTGCACGAGGAGATCTGGCTGCGCCGCCCACCTGGCTTCACTGGGTCGTTTCCTCCTGATACCCAGTGGAGCCTCCGGCGGCCAGTCTACGGTCTCCGCCAGGCGCCTCATGAGTGGCACGACACACTGAGGACTACACTTTCGGCTCTTGGGTTTGCTCGTTCTACAGCCGACCCGTCGCTGTTTCTGCACACCGACACCTTTTCGCCGCCGTTCTACATCCTCGTATACGTCGACGACTTGGTCTTTGCCACTGTTGACACTGCTAGACTCGCCCACGTGAAGTTCGAGCTGCAGAAGAGACACACGTGCACAGACCTGGGTGAACTGCGCAGCTACCTTGGCTTGCAGATCACCCGGGACAAAGCACAGCGCACCATTACCCTGACTCAGTAACACATGGTGCAGCAGGTCCTTCATCGCTTCGACTTCACGTACTCCTCGCCTCAGGCCACTCTTCTGTCTACTCGCCACTCGCTCTCAGGTCTGCCTTCGGATGAGTCCGTAGAGCCGAGTGGCCCGTACCCAGAGCTTGTTGGCTGCCTCATGTACCTGATGACCTGCACACGACCTGACCTTGCATACCCTCTTAGCATCTTGGCACGCTATGTTGCTCCTGGGAGACACCGACCAGAGCACATGGCTGCAGCGAAGAGGGTGTTGCGTTACTTCTGCAGTACGTCGGGCATGGTGCTAGTGCTTGGAGGGCGACGTCGAGTGGTCCTCACAGGTCACGCAGAAGCTTTTTGGGCTGACGACCAGGCTACGCAGCGGTCGTCACAGGTTTACACCTTCAGCCTTGGCTCCGGCTCTGTCTCGTGGCGGTCTACCCGCTCGTCTTCTGTTCTCGGCTCTAGCTGTGAGGCTGAGATCTACGCGGGGGCCATGGCTGCACAGGAGCTACGCTGGCTCACCTACCTGCTGACTGACCTAGGAGAGCCGCCTCGTTCTCCTCCAGTTCTGTGCGTAGACAACAAGGCCATGCTGGCCTTGTGTTGGGAGCACAGACTGGAGCACAGAACGAAGCACATTGCTCTCCGCTACTTCCTTGCTCGTGAGCTGCAGCAGCGTGGTCAGCTGCGCCTTGCTTACGTGGCCTCTGAGGCCAACACTGCTGATATCTTTACTTAGGCACTTCCGCCTGGTGATCATCAGCGCTTCTGTACGATGCTAGGTCTTGTGCCTACTTGGCCTCACTTGCTCAGTTCTTGACCTTGCTTGTACTGTGATCTTTCTATACATGCACTTGCTTGTTTACTTTTATATATGATCTTGCATGTGAACTGGCCTTGTGGCCTTGCTCTTGTGCTCGGATTGTGTGGTGACGTTGTGATCCACCCTGCGCTTGCTTTGCTTTGCCTGACTGGTCTTGTGACCTCTTGTTCTCCCCCACTTTGTGTCGAAATATTTTGTCATGTTTTATAATTGCTTGTAGTTGTAGTTAGTGTAGTTATGTAAACTTTTGTTGGTGGTGCACCTTATTTTGTTTCTATGCTATATGTACCCCTGAACCTATAGTGAAACTACCTTTTTCACCAATTTCCCTCTCAACTCACTCGACATTGCTCCTAAGGGAAAACCCGCTCGATACCTAAGTTAGGGCCTAGGCTACTAAGCCTAGGCCCCCGTTTCTACTCTTAAATTACTTAGACTCTCGACATGGTATCAGAGCTAGGTTCGTCCTGGCCTGTGGGCCCACTTTACACTTCCGCTGCTAAGGTTTTCCGGTCGCGCGCCTAGGGCGCGTGACGACTTTATTTTTACATTGTCCCGCCCACGGGCGTGTGACTCCTTCCCTGCCCGTCGCGCGCCCCGTGGCACGCGACGGTGCCCTTCTACTGCCCATCGTGCGCCCCGTGGCACACGATGGTGCCCTGCTCGTCGTGTGCCCCGAGGCACACGATCGGGCCCTTTTATGCTACCCGTCGTGCGCCCCGTGGCACTGGCCCGCGACGGGCCTTTCCGCCCCTGCACTCCCTGCTGCCGCCCCTGACCCATCTGCACCGACGCCTCTTCGCCGCTCTGCGGCTTTCTTCCTTCCCACCCCCCCCTTTCTCTTGTCTCCCTGCAGCCGTGGGGAGGAGGGTATGGGGGTGGAGGGTGTTGGAGCGTGGGGTCAACTCTCTCCCTTTCCCTCCTCCTTCTTTCAGTCCCACCGCTGCAGCTGCCGCTGGGGGAGGAGGGTGTGAGGATGTGGGTGAGGAGGGGGAGTGGTACCGGGGTGGCGGGTGTGAGGCAACAAGCAGCCGTCCCTCCACCTCTCCTCTCTTCCCCCTTTCTCTGCTGCTTCTGCAGCAGTGTGGGGGAGGGGAAGGAGGAGGGTGAGGAGATGGTAGGGGTACCTGCTGTTGCTGTAACTACATACCTACCTACAAGCATTATGGGGGCGTGTCGAAATATTTTGTCATGTTTTATAATTGCTTGTAGTTGTAGTTAGTGTAGTTATGTAAACTTTTGTTGGTGGTGCACCTTATTTTGTTTCTATGCTATATGTACCCCTGAACCTATAGTGAAACTACCTTTTTCACCAATTTCCCTCTCAACTCACTCGACATTGCTCCTAAGGGAAAACCCGCTCGATACCTAAGTTAGGGCCTAGGCTACTAAGCCTAGGCCCCCGTTTCTACTCTTAAATTACTTAGACTCTCGACACTTTGCCTATGGGGGTGTGTTGAACTTATATGTTATAGCTTGTCTAGGCTATAGTGGGGTAGACACTATGGGGTACAGTTTCCTAGGGTTTCCTATTTGTGCCCAACCTTGTGCTAGTTCATTCATTCCTCATTTCTTCACACATCGCAGCAATAGCAGCTGTTCGCGAAGGTCTACCTTCAAGAACTGCTGCAGGAGGCGAAAATTCTAGCCTCGACGAACTTTCGCCTGCATTGGGACAACCAGAGCGCAATCAGGATCGCTAACAAACCGGGATTCGTCAACCGCACCAAACACATCGTGTTGTGGTACCTCTTCGTCAAAGACGAAGTTGACAAGGGCAAGGTTGACCTAACCTACTACCTGACTGGTGATATGGCAACTGACTTCCTCACAAAGAAGCTGCCACGTTAGCAGTACCAACAGTGCTCCGAAATGAAGACTCGCTACGGCCAGGAGTGAAAGGGGGTGTTACGAATAATAACTATTGAAACATTACTGTGCACTCCTCACTGCAGCAAGAGAAGCACTTACTACCGAGGCTGAAGACGAAAGGGTGGAAGTGACCCGAATGGTCGCACGGTTACGAAAGCATCTGGACCGTCGGGTACACAGCATCAGGTAGAAGTAGTGGCGAGAATTCTGCCTAAACGGTTTCGTAACTGTCTGGAGTCGCACGGTTGGAGTTTGCTGTAATAAGAGAATGTACCCTTAGAGTACATGGCTAGCTAGGGCGATTGGTATTCCCCTGTACTCTTATTTATAGTGCTGTATTTGCACGTTTTTATCTTCTCTAAAGCATTTACATTCACTTTGCTATTGAGGTCAAGGGCCCACCACCACTAAATCAGAAGTGTGTGAACCTTCATGAGATGATCCTGATAACGATCAACTTCTGATCGCAACATGTCAGTCGAATACTTCATTGTTTGTCATCCTACTTGGCTAGCTTTATCCTATCCATCGATTTCTTGGTTATATCAACTCTAATTTGTTCGTGGCTCTGCATGCCTATGTTAGGGCATGATGAAAACTGACTTATTTTTCTAAAAGGCCTCCGTTGAGATAAAAAAACCCAAACAGACAAACAGATAAGTTGTGAGGGGATGGAAGCAAATGTGTAGTTTGAACATATATGTCAAAACTTCATCTCACATAAATATAGCTGCCCAGTTGTGGGTGTATTCAGAACATTTGGGAAATATGAACTGGATTCCAGTATGTATGCGGCGAAGAGAAATGGGATCCCCATTATTGTGAGAATTTATCTTCGCTTTTGACGTGGTGCTTGAAGAGCTTCTCCACATCAGCAACCATGAAGTGGCATCCACCGTGAATGAGGCATGCTTGCACCTTTCTTAGACGCCACGCGGACTCGTTTTGCCAGATCAGATGGCCAGCGGTGATTTTTCCCATGCATGGTAAGGAATGTTCAGGGTTTTTTCACCAGAGTGAGGAGAGGCGCCGCCTGGTCAGCGGAGTGCGCGTGTCGCTCGCGGGAGGAAGCGTTGTGCACATGGGGGAAGTGTCGAGAGAAAACAAACGCTTATGGGAGAAATATTTTACCTTTTGACTGGGGCTAATGTCATAGCGGGATAGTTGGTCATGGTAAGTCTGTTACAACTCTACAATGCTGTACTTCCGTCATTTCCATCTCAGATTGACTTATGTACTGAAGTGCATTCAAGAAGGCGTTCAGTAAACGAGAAATCAAGAACTAGGTTTTGGCTGGTTTTCGGGTAGGCTCAAATGAATGCGCCCAGAAACGGGTGACTACGAGCCACATGTACTATGACAGTGAAATTTCTTTCGGGGCTTGGCGGAAGCCCGCTAAGAGACCAGCGCATGGGTCTGCCACATTCAAATGCGGCTGGAGGCTCGCTTCGTTGTATTTGATTTCCATTTTCTTGCTTGCCAAAGCTCTCGCATCTTTCGCTTCTTGTGACCTTAGCTCACACAGTTTTCCTTAGCTTCAGTACTACTTAGTCGACATGGCGGCAGTAGCAGAGCAGAACAAGATGCTAGAAGAGGTGGAGTCAATCCATCAAAACCTGGTCGGCATCCGCGACAAGCTCAAGGCGATGAAGGCAGAGCCGAAGCAGCACAGCCAGGAGGAGGTGCACCACCTGCAGCAGATGCTCGACGCCATCGACTCGCGTCGCAAGGACGGCATCTTTGCAGGCTCCCTCAAGACTGGCGTCCCCGAGGGTCAAGCTCTCTGCCTCGAAGTGCTGGACGAGGCTTATGGTACGAGTCCTGCTGCAGCTCCGTTTCCGGTTACGTTTACGCATGATGCCCTGTCTGCTGCGCGCAGAAGAGTTCTTTGCGCAGCGCGAGAGCGTATTTGTGAACTATATCAATCTCCAACCGCTTTTCTTGTTAACTACGCCTCGTGTAATTCCTTCCGACAGACCTGGTCAGCGAACTGATGGCGGAGACCCCCGAGATGTCTCCGGAAATTCGGCACACGTACACGATGCTGGCGGGGATCAAGAACAAGCTGATCAAGCTCAAGGCGTCGCGCACGTACTCGCTGGATGACGTGCACCACTACCAGCTCATGGTCGACTCCATCGACGCCGCGCGCAAGGACGGCATCTTTGGCGGAGACGTCAACAACATCCCCTCGGGCCAAGCGCAATGCGCCAACATACTGTTTCAAGTATACGGTGAGCCTCCGGCCGGTCTCCTCGCTTGTAAAAGATTTTCGCAACAGAAGATTAGGTTTGAAGGGATTCTTTTTGCGTCTTCTGTTGCCGGTTCGGCCAAATCGCCCAACACAGCCTGGACTGGTTCGGGAACGTATCTAGCCACGAGTCCCCTGACGTCACTGATTTCTCTCTCCGCGGTTCTCCGCCCTCCCGCCGCCCCTTCCCCACCCACCGCAACGAGCAGAGCTGCTGCGGCAGCTGCTGGCGTCGGCGCCGGAGATGAACCCGCAGATGCGCGGCATCTACTCGCACCTGGCGGGCATTCGGCGCAAGCTGGCGGACATGCGGCAGCACAACGTGACGCACACGTGCGACGACCTGCAGATGTACCAGGTGCAGCTGGACGCCATCGACAAGGACCGCGAGGACGGCATCTTCGGCGGGTCCCTCTCCACCAAGGTGCCTGCGGGGCAGGCGCTCTGCTCCACGCTGCTCGCGCAGTGCTACAAGCTGGTCGGCGAGCTGCAGGAGACCGCCACGGATGCTTAGAGGGGTTGTATCATGGGCGTGCAGGCGCCGTGGCCGTGGGGGCTGATTAGAGGCGCCGAATTTAGGGGAGGAATATAGGTTGGATTGGGATGGTGGGCCAGAGCGGGAGTGTGGGGAGTGCGTTGGGGAGAGTTTGCTTTTCATGTAGGTGGGGCAATTGGGGAGGAGGCAACAGGCACGTGGGAGGGCTATGTGGGTGCATCGTTAGAGGATTCTGACTCACAAATACGTACATTCGGAGCAGGGAGGAAGTATACGTGTATTAGAAGCTGGGCTGCTGGTTGTTGGATGTTTTATGATTGGTCAAATGAAGAGTAATTTCCTCCCCAAAACCTCCGAAATGCTGACCAAGTCTTCCACTCGTTATACCTATGACGATGATTTCTCTGGCGAGTCTTTTCTAGTTGCATCTATCTGGAAGTCGGACATACTCATCATGCGAAATGTTCGAGATATGTGAATTATCAATAGTTAAAGCCCGCGCGCTTTAAGTCCTCGTCGTCCGGGTCACTGGGTACAGAGGGGTTGGGATGTCCCTGCGACAAACAATTCGACGTGATCCAAAATAAGAGAAGATCGAGCCTCGTTTGGCAACATTCGTATCCACCCGCCTACCAAACACATGTCAGCAAATTTTGAAAAAAACGTGGGCAAATTGGGACTTGTGAACACGCATGAACTCCCTCAGCCCCTGGAAGAAGTAACATGCTCGTCAGTTGGCAAGCTACTACACAAGAGCAGCCAACCAGGCAGGGACACGTAGGATCGCAGCTCCTTACGGTTTACCGTGCATGGTTCCGAAAGATGACGATGTAATTATAGGCTGTAGCAAGCGGTGTGTATACTTCCCACATAGGCGGCTTGGTATAGGTATATGGCAAGAAGACGGAGATCGCGACGTTTGGCTTGCGCGCCGACTCAGACTCTGAAAAATGCCGATCTGGTTCACGGGTTACTCGGAAAAGGGGGGATTAGGACCATATGGCGCTCCATTTACGGGGCACATAGGAAACCGCCGATTTCACCTACCGTATCGCCCCGGATATAGGCGCCGTCCGATTAAAGGCGCCGGCGCTTCTATCTGGAGCATGGCGCTTATGGCCGGAATTCGATTATAAGCGCCCCCCCTGAAAATGCTTTACTTATTATAAGCGCACGCCTAAATTTATTTTTCATTCCTGATTAAAACGGTAACGAACTTCATATTTCTAGCGAGTCACATCACATTTTCACTTTGTTTGACTTTCGCGGACCTCACTGGTTGCGCGTCCAGTCAGTATGAGCTGGCACGCGGGCAAAATGACGCGCCAAAGCTCAGTGCACCGTCAGAAATTCGCCCTCGCGCGATTCTGATTCTGGACGCTGTAAAGTTTTAATTCGGTTCAACTTACGAGACTGAACTGTACATGTTGGTGCGTTTGAACTGTATTTCTGTATTTGTCTTTATATAAGCGCCGGCGCTTATGGCCATTATTCAATTACAAGCGCCACCCTTAAAAAAATCGATTTTATTATAAGCGCCATGGCGCTTATATCCGGGGTGATACGGTAGTTCCTCTCGCAGAATTTCCCAAAAATTGCCGGAAAAGTTCCCGACATTTTCCAGATGGACGAAAGATTCAGTCGTCTGGTTGCAGCGATAGTAGAACGTTCATTGGCGATTAGATTAGATCCGACTCGAATCGTTGAATAACCGGCGCCGATCGAGTCATGACGCTCGTGTTACCGACGCGACCACATATAGTCCAGGGAAGCACCCCTGGCCACGTGTCCTTTCCGCTGCGAAGGCATTTCTGTTAGAATCGGTAGGCTTAGGAGCCTAGGGTAGAAGGAGAATTGACGAGAGAGAAGAGGGGTTTCACTGTGGAGAGGGTCACAACATATAGGGTAGGAAAGGGGGTACACCACCAAACAGGATATCACGATAACTACACCAACGCTAGAACTACATGCAGTTATAACAACATAATTCTGACATCCCCCCTTAACTGCATGCAGGAATAGCAAAGTGCAGAACACAAACTGCAGGTGTACTCAAAGCAACAGCACGCAAGAGCAATGACAACCAGTGCAGTAGTGGCAGAGACAGCTGCACTAAGCCCTGAGGCAAGAAAGAAACAAAGAGAAGGTGCATGTGGCGCAGGTAGCCTGGAGAGCAGGTGCGTGCGGCTAGAAAGGGTGGCGGCAACGCAGGGCTCAACGGCAACGCCTGCAACTCAACAGCAAAGAAAGACGAATGAAGAGAGAGTGGCGTCAGGGGCTGCAACTGTAGGTGCCATGGTAGCAGCGGGCGACAGCTGCAGATGCATGGCTGCTGTTTCCGCCGATCTCTCTTACCCTCCATTAACCTCTCTCATCCCCCCTGAACCGCTCTCTCCCCCCCCCCCCCACAGCACCAAGTGCTGCAAGGAGAGAGGAAGAGGGAAGGGAGGGACGGTCTGCTCGTGGTTCACACCCGCCACCCCACGTCTCCCCCTCCCCCCCTCCCCACGACAGAAGTCGCGGAAGGGAGGGTGGGTGGGGCGGGCGGCGGTAGCTGCTGCTGGCGCGAGCGCTGGCGCCTGGCGCTGGCGTTGGGCGCAGGTGCTGGCGCCGGCGGTCCGCGTTGGCGCTCGCGGCTGGCCGTGGCGCTGGCGCTCGTCGCTGGCGTCCGCGCAGGCGCCTGGCGAGGCGCTGGGCGGGCTGCGCGCGGTCGAAACGGGTCGCGCATCGACGGGACAGGCTGCGCTCGGGGCAGAACGAGCTGCGCGCAAGGGAAAACGGGTTCTTCGCAGGGGAAAATCGGGCTGCGCGCAGTGCATATCGGGTAGAAAAGCAAGGCGACGACGGGACGGGACGTGCAGGCGCCTCGGGCGCCTTAACGGATGTTGCAGCAGCCATGTCTTAAAAAAAAAATATGAACTTAGGTCCTTGGGAAGAACCTGCTCTGATACCATGTTAGAATCGGTAGGCTTAGGAGCCTAGGGTAGAAGGAGAATTGACGAGAGAGAAGAGGGGTTTCACTATGGAGAGGGTCACAACATATAGGGTAGGAAAGGGGGTACACCACCAAACAGGATATCACGATAACTACACCAACGCTAGAACTACATGCAGTTATAACAACATAATTCTGACAATTTCCTGGATTGTAACGTATTACCCTAACTACCCAGCTAACAACCATCGATCTCTCTCTTAGTCAATTGTTGAGAACTTCTGTCGATAAAGGAAGAGTTGGAGAAGATGGTTGAGTTGGTTGGGATGAAACTTGGTTTGGGTTTGCCAAGCCTCAACTTTGGAGGTTTGGAACATTTCCAACTCAACCAAGAGAATGTTGAAGGTTGGAATTCCAACCAATCAAAAACTGCCAAACAAGTGTTACAATCTACTCTATCCTAAACACAACCATTGAATGGTTCTAAGTGTCAGAATGAGGAATGAATGGTTCCATTGATGTTGGTTGGGGTACATATAACAAACCCTAACTTCTGTACCCCCTAAGACAAACCTCACTACAGGCTACAACATTTGACACACCCCCATAGCCTAAGTGAGGGGTGTCTAGCAAAATCAAAAAGAGTACGGTCACAAGACCAGTCCAAAAGAAAACAAAGCTCAGGGTGGATCACAACGTCACCACACACTCTGAGCACAAGCAACATTGGCCACAAGGCCAGTCCAAGAGATCACAAGTATATATAGCAAGTGTACAGACGAAGTAGGCAATAAACTCAAGTCTACACATGACTAGAACCTGAGTCAACAAGGCCTAACTGCACACAACACCTCTGGTGGTCACAAGGCGGAAGCGCCTTGGTGAAGATGTCTGCAGTGTTGGCCTCGGACTCCACGAACTCGAAGCGAGCCTGTCCACGTCTCTGCAACTCTCGCAGAAGAAAGTACCTGACGTGAATGTGCTTCACTCTACTCTCCAGTCGCGGCTCACGACAGAGGAGGATCGACGCCTTGTTGTCAGTAAACAAGGTCGGTGCAGAGCTCGGCCGCTCACCAAGGTCGGCGAGCAAGAAGGTCAACCACCGCAACTCCTGTGCCGCCATGGCACCAGCGTAAATCTCAGCCTCAGCTGTGGAGGTCGAGACAGAAGAGGAGCGCGTGGAGCGCCAGGAAACAGCTCCAGAACCCAGACTGAAACAGTACCCCTGAGTAGACCTGTGAGTCTCAGCGTCGTCAGCGTAAGAGGAGTCACAGTGACCAGTGAGTACGACAGACTGCTGCCCTCCAAGAACTAGCCCCACGCCTGATGTAGTCGCTAGGTACTTCGCCACCCTCACAGCTGCCGTCCAGTGAACAGGACGGTGTCTCCTTGGCGCAACAAAGCGCGCAAGGATGCTGAGAGGGAAGGCGAGGTCCGGGCGAGTACAAGTCATCAGGTACATGAGGCAACCCACAAGCTCTGCGTAGGGACCACTAGGCTCAAACGGCTTGTCAAGAAAGGGACCAGTGAGTCTGTGGTCAACAGCGAGAGGTGTGCGCTGTACGGTGGAGTGCTGAAGCCCGAACCGCTGAAGGACCTGCTGCACCATGTGTGACTGTGAGAGTGTAATGGTGCGAGCGGCTTTGTCCCTGGTGATCTGCAGGCCAAGGTAGTGGCGCAGCTCACCAAGATCAGTGCACGTGTGTCTCTTCTGCAGTTCGGACTTCACGTCTGCCAAAGCAACCCTGTCCGGAGTGGCGAAAACGAGGTCGTCGACGTAGACCAGGACAAAGAACGGTGTGGAGCCACGACGAACGAACAGCGACGGGTCGGCAGAAGAGGGCTGGAACCCAAGGTCAGAGAGGGTAGAACGCAGAGTGTCGTGCCACTCACGAGGGGCCTGGCGAAGACCGTAAACAGGTCGCCTCAGCCTCCACTGGGTCCCAGGAGGGAAAGTGCCAGTGAAGGCCGAGGGACGACGTAACCAGACCTCCTCGTGTAGGCTGCCCTGAAGGAAAGCAGTGGAGAAGTCGAGAGAGTGTAACTCGTAGTCTCTCTGTGCTGCTACGTGTAGTAACACCCG